TCAAGAAGAACTCTACAACTCAGTTCTACTACAGTAACATGTATAAAAGCCTTGCTTGTCTTTCTTCTGCTGCTGTTTGGAAATATTAATTTGTTGGGTTTTTTTCCTCATTTTATCCCAAAATTAAAGTTGAATGAGCATCTTCAACCAGATATAAAAGGAAGATGCTTGATTAACATGAAATTGTGGCCCTTCAGTTTAGTTCTCAGTCACCTCTCCCTCAGGGACATTAATGAAAAAAGGTTACCAAGATACTGCCAAGTAGGATACAAGCAGGAGTTTGGCTTCAGAATTTATCGAATTGAATTAATTAGCAGGAAGACCTTTTCAGATCCTGGCACTTCACATGAATTATCTGTGCACATCTGCGGTGCCACCTAAATTCAGGTGTAACATTGTAGTGATGCCTTCGAACAGGCTGTTTGGTGTCCTCGCAGAGAAGAACACCCCAAATCTGTCGGCAGGACTCTGCTCTGCGAACCGAAACTGCAGAGGCTGCAGCTAAGCAGAGGCAGGGAGGCTGCGCACCCCGCACGGTGACAGCGTTGGGCTGCCTCTGAGAGCACTGCAGCTCCCTTCAGCCTCTTTCACTTTTCCCTACGGGTCTGTACCGAAGCTGAGTTACCAACACAACAAAGAGGTGCCTAAAGCAGAACTAGATCATGTTTTCTAACCAACCCTCCAAAGCTGTTGTGGGTTAGAAACACGGTTCCACTTTTGACTCATCTCTAGAAATGAGCTTCCTTTCTTTCTGCCAAAAAAGGTGACCTGCAAGCCAGTCTGACGCAAGGTAATTTGTCCTGTTTATGTGATGACTTTGATAAGGCATAGAGATTAGTGCTCTTCCTTCATAATAAAGTAACAGTTTGTTTATGTGCTGTAATCCCAAGTGACTTTTTTTTTTACGGTGAGAGCCTGAATGTGACAATAATTTGGAGAGAAATCTTGGTTGTAAAACTAAAGAGCACTTTAAATATGCTGTTGCTGTCTCTGCCTCTTGCTTGCACGTACCCCCAGTCCTGGCCCCTCTCAGCAGTCACAAGATAAGCTTCGAAGAAACAAGGCCATTGATTGACAGCTCATTAGAAGTTGCAAGAGCAGCAAAACACAAACTGGAGCCCGTGGCTTTCTCCCTGCCCGGCTGGGGAGGCGTGCTGGTCAGCAGTGGCCTGAGAGGAACAAAGACTGCAGGAGACAGTGGAGGAAAACAACATGAAATTTTAATGGTGTGCTCGAAAGGCCAGGTGTAATGGATCAGGGCCAAGGCCTCCCCTGCCCCCCCACCCCGTCGCGTATATTTACTTTCTATATATAGGCGCAAACGGGGAGTATAGGTTGTGCCATGTGGCACGTACACATGCACACAGATTGAGAGAATCCCAACTTTGATATGCCAGACAGAATTTATCCAAAAATCCATTTATAAATGAAAGACTCCAAGTATATACAGTGTTAATATCTGTACATATTAGATGTCACGGCTCTAGTCTTAGATAAGGTCGCACACCGAGCCAAATTCACCCCTGCAGTGAAAGCCAGGCAAGTTTTACTAGGAATGAATTTGGCTTAATGTGTCTGCCTGTAGTTATGTTTGTTTTTACAAATCCTGTTTATCCCTCATGTAAGCATATTCCTCATATTTAGAAGACTTCTACCAGGCACATGCCAATTCACCTCCAACCCATTAGCTACAATGTCTATTTCTTTAGCATCCCTTGGGGTCCTTTGAGCCCTCAGGTCTGTGCTGGAGGGTGCTTGCTCTTCAGACACCAAAAATCCTCTTTGCCACGCAGGCTGGTGAGTGCCCTACCTGAATCCCGTGAGTGCTAAAGGGTAGAGAGGAGTTCATCACAAATTAATGCAGGGAAAATTAGCCCTGGTCCTTTGTATAGAATGTCATCTGACAATAGCTACAATTGATTTTTAGTTGAAATTTTCCAGTGGCATCTTTTTCTCAGATTCCCTCTTTTACATGCTGAGGAGCATTCTGTTTAACATGTAGGTATATGTGTTTGATGTCAAAGATGGAATTATTTCTATTTCTGTAGGCCACTTAGTCTGACTTCTGGTGTAAGTACTCAGAAGAAGAGTAGTTATCTACTTTTCATGGATAGTCAAACACAAAAGCTTCAAATTTATCTTTTGTAAGCTTTGTTACTAGGAAATCATTATACAAGGGGATCAGCAGGGCTGGATTATGTTTCTTTTAGCATCTTAATACATTAAATACATGCAGAATCTTTTTAGGATACTCCTAAATCTAGGACGCTCTGGAGAAAACACTAGACTTCAAGAGAAATGTCTACAAGAACATAAAGCTGGGCTGCAACAGCCGCTGTTACACTATTTAAGCTTAGAAACTCACATCCTGCTGGAATGTAGGCAACATTTGTTTGCTTAAAGACTTCACAGATTGAGGAGAAGCAGTGTGTTGTGAAATGGATAAACTGAGACCATGGGCATTATTATGGCGTGGACTTTACTGATAAAACATAAGCCCATGGCCATAGTTCTTCAGTAAGCATAACTTAAATTCATTTAAGCCAGTGGTTTTACATGGACATAAAACTAGGGTAAAGAAACATACAATCTAAAGCTTGATTTCAAATTAAGAAGAGTTACTTCTATAATACCATTTTTCACTTGTTTAATATACTTTATCTTCAGATATCAAAGAGTTATAAAGGTGAAGTGTAAAATAACATCTAGATTTTAGCAATAGAGACTCTGAGTCCTGAGGCTGGCAGTGTGATTTGCCTAAGATCCCCTAAAGATTTGCTAGGGGCCATCTTTCACTCCTTTGTTCTACCTTCTGCTCATGTCACATCTGATTTTACTTTCACTTAACCACTGCATTTACTTGGAATTCTTCAGAAAAAAACTTCCAAAGTTCTATCTGCTATAAATATAACACTATAAATGAATAAGGATTGGAGCTCATGTACTCTGTTCCTACAGAAATCAACGGGTTTCAGTAGAAGTTTGGGGATCAGGAGCTTTGAGGGAATCATCAAATATACAGAAAGTCTGTGTGTGCAAGTAGAGGCAAATACCCTTTCAAAATTTGCTATCGCAGCACAGCTCTGAGCCAATACACAAAAAGGCACGAGATGTAACCTTTCTCCTATATTGTAATCCAGCCCTTTCCTAAATTGCTGCTCCCCAGCCGCAGTGAATTGAAAGGAAATATCGAAGCAGGCTGCTCATTCTTCTGGGCTGCGGCTGTGGGGGCTTCCTCGAGACCCGCACAACACAAAGCAAAGCCCCATTCTGCAGGGACCCGACATTCCCAGGGGGCCCTGCACATATCCCTCCATTGTGATTTCCCATCCAAAATAGTATAGTGCTTTACAAAAAGCCCAAAACACAATAGTATGACTCAGCAGTTTGGATTTGCAGGCTAGTGGGCCGGCTCCCGTGAAAGTGCCAGTGCTTGTAACCGAGCAGGAGGTGACTCCAGTGCTGGGTGCTTTTCAACCTCGCTTCGCACAGGCTGGACAAAGGGATCCAACGATCCCGCTCCAGTGCTGAGGCACTGAGTGTCCTCAGACAGATGCATCAGACAGTGCTTGACACTGAAATAACAGGTGTTTAAGAACATACAGAGAGCTACCATAAGTGGCTAACCTGCCCTGTGATTCAGGAGCATCATAGGCTGGATACCAGAAATCATTAAGCCGGCAGATGAGGCAGCTCTCTCATCTTCCCTGCCAATAAAGTATGTCTGACTCTGGCTTGCCGGCCTCTCTCAGTTCCCATAACAATACTGTTTGTGAAGTGCTTTGACAACAGAAAGCACCAGCTCTAGGCAGTAACACTCATGGCGTGAGCTGGGGCTGGTGTCTCCAGTCCCCTTTCTTGGCAGGAGAGAACCAGAGAAACAACTGAAAAATGAGGCCAGGTGATGGGAAGCAAGGAGACTGGCAGAGCAGTGACGGGAGAAAAAGCAGGAAGGGAGAGAGCATTAAGAAACAGCAGAAATACAAGAAAGAAGAAGTAGCAGGCAACTGTAATGAAAGAGCGGGGGAAAAGAATACGAAAGCTGGTTTAACCAGAAGTGGCCCTTGGGGTTGGTCCCCTGGGGAAGGGGAGCGGTGAGTCAGGCTGCGGTGCTTCCCTGGGGAACTGCCAGGCTGTGAGTCACAAGCAGAGAGAGAGGTGCCTGCGTTTCTTTCGCCCTTGAAGCTATTCCTTACCTCCTGCTAACCACCAGGAGGTAGGGCCTTACCCTCTCAACCAGCTACCCAGCCCTGCTTGCACCATTGTTTTCCTCCTTCTCTGTCTTTTCTCCCCATGATTCCCCTGAAATCAGCCTGCTGTCCACTTGAAACCCTTGTGAAAGCCTGAATTGCCTCTAGTTCATGGGTACCCAGCTGGCCTTCAGCCTTCCCATTTTCTTGTTACAAGAAGTCTTCATGTCAGTAAAGAGAAAGCTTTGTTTTCCCCCCAGTTTTTCCTCAAACCAGAAATTCTGGGCAGAATTTTGAAATTTGTGGCCGTGCTCAGGTGTGACTTCAGTACCCAAGGTACACACAGGCAGACACTTGAAAACACAGACGCTTAGGGTTTGACACTTTCCAATGAAGCAGTCCTTTGAAATGAAGCATGCTATTTATCCAATTGCAAACTGCTTTTTCCACGGAATTTTTTGGATCTGTTATGTTTTTGTCTCCCTTTAAAGAGGAGACAACTCCGGTACTTCACTATTTTGTTGTTCCAGACTGCTCTATTTTCAGTGAGCACTCCCCCAATTTTCTTTTCCTTTCACAAAAACAGATCATTTTAAAAAATTGGAAGGAAATCATGAAAATGGGTCCAGAGTTTCGTGTTCTCTTATGAGCTTTCCGCATGTGTCAAGATGTTCTGCCTCTGTACGCCCTCAACACCCAGGAGCGAGGAGGGTGAGCACGAGGGAAGATAACCTCCCTTTAACTGAATGGACAATGCCACCCGCCAGCACATTTGAGGGGATTTCTATACATTTTCTGCTAAAGTATTACCTGTACCGAACAGCTGTAGGCCCTGAAGCACACACCAGCCAAGTGGCTTCCCTCTGCAGTGCAGTGTCCTTGGCAGACCCGGGGTGCAGGTGTCCCCTCCTGATGCTGCTGCTGGCTGCCGCGCAGACAATGCTTCCCTCCTTCTCGGTCCCCGCAGTGGGTGACCTGCCAGATTTCCCTGAGGGGCCATAAAAGTGAAACAAAGATTGTAAGAAAGAAACAGTGAACACCTCTCCAGATTTAAGGAGAGACTTTAGTGTAGTTTTGTAAGAGGATCTCATCTCTCTCTTTAATAAATAAAGAATTTGGGTGACACAGGACCTTCTTGTCTCCAGTGGAGGACATTTTTCCCCGCGGAACCTGAAGCTCAGTTATTAAAAATGAAAATCTGTCTCAGCCTTTCAAGTCAGTTCTTGGAAACACCAGCTGTTAAAAAGAGGAGAGGAAAAAAGCAGCCAAACCAAGAGACCCTTTCAGATAAAGCTTCCCTGTGATCTTGGGACCAGCTCGGCTGGATCCGACTACACGGAGGAGAATAGGTGAGCTATGATGCTTGTTACTTATCACACACAAAAATGCTGAGTTTTCTCTGAGGTGCTCACTACCCGGAGTGCTTAGCTGCACATTCAGACTTCAAACCCAAAGAAAACCCTTTTCCCAAAACTGCCTGATGCAACTCCACAGGCTGGTGGGGGAAATGGATTCTCAGGAGCATTAGAAGTGCTCTGATAGACTTGGGAATTGTTAGTTGCAAACATTCCTCCAGGAAAAATTGTAAGGCATCCTGTTCTGCCAAATTATTTTCAGACTTGTTTTCCAGGTTTTGAGATTTGTCAGAAAGTTTTTTGTTTGTTTGCTTCCTACCAAAAATGTAAAGTCTAGCCACTCTGGTTTTACCAGAATCTGGAGGTGATTTGCCACTGGATTCACTTGGAGATGAATCAGATAATCAGTTTTTTATGTGAGTCCTAATGAGTATACACACAAAAAATGTTATATTTACAATGAATACAGGGAAAACAAAAAGTCAAAGAAGGAAAAGGAGATTTATCTACCTCCACCAATCAAAGTGTTTTGTTTTGTTTTGTTTTTCCTTCATAGCTATCTTTAACTTTTGTGTTTTATAAAAAAAACTTAACACATGAAGTGTTTATTAGCATCATTAACTGAAGAAAATAAAAACAAACACCAGAAAGGATATTCTATGGGTTCTGAAACAGAATGACAGAATGTAGATTTATGCATGAAAATAGAGGACCTGAATTTACAAACAACTGGGTTTCCAGTTCCAGGGACTCTGCTCAAAGATATTCTGAGCTGCCTGGATATTCAAGATCCTGTAAACCCTTTATGAAACTGATAGGAGAGCCTGTGACTGAAGCAACAAAATAAGGTTATTTTTGTAATTTCTGTATTCTTTCTTTTTCTTTCTTTCTTTCTTTCTTTCTTTCTTTCTTTCTTTCTTTCTTTCTTTCTTTCTTTCTTTCTTTCTTTCTTTCTTTCTTTCTTTCTTTCTTTCTTTCTTTCTTTCTTTCTTTCTTTCTTTCTTTCTTTTTCTTTCTCTCTCTCTCTTTCTTCCTTGCCTTTCCTTCTCTCTCTCTTTCTTCCTTCCTTCCTCTTTCTCTCTTTCTTTCTCTCTTTCTCTTTCTTTCTCTCTTTCTTTCTCTCTCTTTCTCTCTTTCTCTTCCTTCCTTTCTTTCTTCCTTTCCTTTCCTTCTCTCTCTCCCCTCTTCCTTTCGTTTCTTACTCATTCTTTCTGTTTCTTTCTCTCTCATCCTTTCCTTTCCTTTCCTTTCCTTTCCTTTCCTTTCCTTTCCTTTCCTTTCCTTTCCTTTCCTTTCCTTTCCTTTCCTTTCCTTTCCTTTCCTTTCCTTTCCTTTCCTTTCCTTTCCTTTCCTTTCCTTTCCTTTCCTTTCCTTTCCTTTCCTCTTTCCTTTCCTTTCCTCTTTCCTTTCCTTTCCTTTCCTTTCCTTTCCTTTCCTTTCCTTTCCTTTCCTTTCCTTTCCTTTCCTTTCCTTTCCTTTCCTTTCCTTTCCCTCTCTTCTTTTTTTTCCCCCAGATAAGTAGATAAAAATGTCAAGCAGTTGGCAGGTTCTAGCACTAGATATTCCTTTTGAATTATTGGCAGAATTAGGCAATTCTGCTTTTACTCCCACTTTTACTTTCTTGCCTGAGTTTAAATTTTATTGCATCTAGGACTTAACGCTCCACTGTGCTGAACACCCACAATGGTCCCATATTGCAAGAGAACACATAAACCCTCAGCGCTAGGGGTCAAGTTTCTCTGCTTTATCTTCACATTCAGGAGAGTCGAGCTCTATTTTTCCACCCTTTTCCATCCAAATATAAATGCTTTTGAGGTCAAACCTCAAGAAGTAACACAGAGCATTTACCAAAATAAATGTAATACGGTATGCTGGTTGCAGCCAAAGGTCCACTTAGCCCAGTGTGCAATCTTTGACAGTTCTCTGACAGAACACACGACACTAACGTGGTATTCCTCTTCCATAGGATGGAATGATAATGTTTCGGTGCTCTGCTGGGACCACATACAACATACTTTGTTAGGACCTGGTTCTGTAAAGACTGCTCTATTCTATATTCTGAGAGTAGCACTAAGAATAATCAAAAATCAGGGAATTGAGAATATGTGCATGTGTCCCAGGATAGGCTTTATTACTGTCATTAATTCAAAGAACAATGGGAAGACAGACTGGGGATTTTTAAAGAAAAGCAATTAAAATATATCACTTTGATATTTTAAACTTTTTATTTCAAAAGAAGGATTTTCCACCCAAGCAGATTATAACAGAGTTCTAGCCGCAGAGTCAAACAAGCTTATACAGGCACTGAGCCCTTGTGAGCAAAGTGAAGAGCTCCAGAGGTTACACACGCGGCAGCTGTGACATTTAGCAGCAAATGTAATTTTTCATGCAGCAGTACAGGGGAAAGACCTAATTCTGCCAGGCGGTGAGCGTACCTGCTGAGTCCTGAGTCTCCTCTGTGTCTGCTACCAGTAATGCTCACAAATGGTCTTGGTATTTTAGAGTCAGATCATAGCCCTCTGAAGCCAGCTTTCCTTTGCCTTTGGCAGGGAGTGGCTCAGACCTTTACAGAATGAGGCTGCGATGCTGTAAACTTTGTATTTTGTGCTAATATCTAGTATAGTCCCCTCATGAAATCCCAGTAGTAGAGTCAAGCATCTGAGTGGGTTTATGCTGCAGAATTTGGTCCAGAACATGAGAAGGACACAAATGACAAAGGAAGCAGAAGCAAAGTTATAAGAATGAGATGGGGAAAAACAGGAGAGGTAAGAGTGCATAATCAGAAGGAAAAGGCTGGCAGTGAAAGAAACCCAGAGATGAGAGCAAAACAAAACCCTCAAATTATTTTAACATTACCAGTAAAAGGCATATGACCAAATAATTCTTTTGGTCTCATTATTTTTTAATAGAAGGGAAGAGAAATCTTCATGGGAACTTTCCCCTAAGTCATTAGCATGCTGTAGAAATCCTGTTCCGTACAAAGTCTCTGTAGGATTGGGCACTTCCTTGGAGAAAGTGAAATTCTACAGCAAGTCTTGGTGAAGAGAGGGGAAGGAAGGAAAGAATAGGCAGGGAAGAGAAAATCAGTATGTCTCCAACACATGAGAACATGTTCAGTGATGTGCAGACGTGCACACCTCGACCCTGGTTGTCAGTGTTTCCCTCAACCCATTGCCTCTAAGGCCATGAGAGAATTTGCAGGGCTGATAATAGGAACTACTGACTGGAAAATGCAAACTCCTGTCTTCAGAGCTTGCAGTAAAAGTCAAACACAAGCCTGAGAGAGGACGAAGCATTTTCCTGAGACATTGCCATTATCCGGGGAGAGCTGAGCATTTCAGTTTTGCTCTCAGAGAAATTAAAAAGAGCAGCTGCAGTGAGCTTTCTTAAAATTTGTTCCCTTCAGAAGAAAACCCCAAGAGCAATATCCTCTCTGTACTATTTATAGCCAGAAAGTGATTCTCCTCTCAAATACACCTTTTACAATGTGCAACACTTGTTCCTGTCAGCGCGGCCTGCTGAACCCCGCGAGCCCTTCTGTCACCGCGAAGGCCAACTTTCTCCGCAAGGTTAGCTCCTGTGAGGAATGTGCAAGGACGGTCAAAACCTGAAATTCAGGCTGGGCTTTTTCTGCGTCATACAAGAGTAAATGTTTCTGCAGTGGTAGAACAGAGTTGGTAGGCCTGATGGTATGTGTAAGGGAAGAATACAGTGTTTTCCAATCCTAAGCACTCAGAGCTCCCTGAAAAATCATCGGATTGACCCCATGCTCTTAAGATAACAAAATAAACATAATCAACCCCAAGCGTTTTTCTTGGTCATGCTTTGCTTTATGATCCATTAGGCTACTCTTAATTTCCCTATTCCAACCATGAGAGCTAGAAAAATAGAAATGAAAACAGAGATGATGACACAGGCTTTTGATTTCAAAAGGTGGGACTTTAGCAAAGACTACCGCCCCCCCGACGTCAAGTTGGCCCTGTGAGGTTTTCAGGAGCCCACCCAGGCAGAGTAGCTAGCAAGACCTGTGCCTAAGATTACAACACATTCTGCAATTACAGAGCAGTGCTGACAATAGCATTTTGTCAGTAAAATAAAAAGAAATAGTTCCGAAGACACGTAGAGAATATGCATGGGGGGGGGGGTAACTAAATGAAATAAGCAGTTTTGTTCTCTAGTCTTCTGAGCGCCACAGCAAGCTAACAAAATGGTTATAGGCTGGCATGACATTTCCCTCCACAGATGTCATTGGGACACTACTGCGCATGATTTTAGATTAATCTCTTGAATGAGCTGACTACCATGCACATTAATGAGCAACAAAATGCTGGCAGAGTGTCTGTCCCCGGGGCTCCAGTCCCCAGGTAAGACACTCGTCTCTGTGCTATTGTAGAGACTCTCCCTGCAGCATGCAGTGAGCTCGGTGGTATAACTTGCCCTCAGTTCACAATTTTCCATTTCAGACTCACTGTCTCTGTCTTGGTTTCGGTCTATTTACTCGGAGCCATTTCTTAACAATGTCTAATTTCCTCAAGGAATCCCTCTGAGTCCCCTCTCTTAGAAATGCTGCCATATCTTTTTTTTTAATCATTGAAAGGCACAAATATCCTTCCTGAGCTCTCTTACCATCCAGCCTGATTATGTACATAGATTTCAGTTTCCATACATTTTCTACACAGTAGGAGTTCCCAAAATGCAGCCTCTGGGGATATAAAGTGTGGCCCCAACTGCGACTCACCAAGATGAAAACAAAGCCGATCAGGTACTGTTTTTACTGTTAATGAGCCTAACCAGCAGGCAGTTATTACTCAGTCTGGAAGACATAAGCTGTTGGAATTGCAGTGCATTCATTTTTTATTTATAGCAATGCACATACAAATCAGAAGTAGCCCTCCAGCATCTGGCATCTTGCCAGGGCCTGACCATCAGTGTGACAAAATTTGAACATCTTGAAGATATAGAATGCCTTTTGTTGCTTTTTCTTTTTTTTTTTTTTGATAGTACTCCCTCCCCCTCCTACTCCCAGCTCCCTTGACTATGAAAAGTGGGCAGCTAGGCTTCATTAATTTAGGATCCAGGCCCCTATTGAAAACAGAAGAAACGAGCCCCCTTTTTTCCCACTTGATGGTGATGTATAAGTCAGACATACACTGATCTTCTTGTAAAAAAGCTTTTCTGGCAAATTAAAGAGCTAAAAAGATCTCATGAACATGAATCAGAAAAGAAATAGGTTCCTTGGGGAAGATGCACATTACTAGCCTGCTGATCTGTTAACAACAATTGTAAATACCTCACCCAAAATCACAGCGGCTCCGAAGCATTTACCTGTGGAGGCTCACAGAGCCGCACCAGGACAGTGTCACACGAGGAAAGTAATTCTCCTCACCTTGCTACCAGTCAGTGTCCAACCCGACCCCTCTCCTGTGTCTGAGTTCCAAACCTCAGTGACTGTGTGGCAGATGTGACAGCAATTACCATTACTCAGCTGCCGGCTGGGTTTAAAATCTCCTTTCTAAGTGCTCTTGTTACGTAGGCTTTAACGGCAACCTGACAGGGCGCTGCTCTGCGCTGAGGAGCTCGATCCTGTGCTCGAGTTTGGTGATTTTGCTGTTGAGCTCAGGGAAGGCACCCGCAGCCTGTGGGTGCAAACAGTGGTGGAGTAAGTGAAAAAAGGGTAAGCTGCTGCTTGGAGCGTGAGGGTTGGTTTTTGTCTGTCTTAACCTTCTCAGTGAGGGGGCTTCACAGGGGTACCCCAGCGTTTGGCTGTAACCCTGACGCGGCCGGGCTGGGCGCTCACGGCTGCAGGCAGCCCGCCGGGCACGGGCACGGGGCGGGTTGTGTTACCTGCCAGGCCCGGGCACGGAGGGGCAGCGCTGTGCGGGGCGCTCCGCTTTTCACCACCTTTGTCTCCGCTCTCCCTGCAGAGCGCGGCCGCTCGGCCTGAGCCCTCCGCTCCTCCCCGGGGGACCGGGGCCCGCCGCGAGGGGCGGCTGAGGAGGGAGGGAGGGAGAGAGGGGCCGGGGCGCCCCCCCCTCCCCTCACGCGCTGCGGCCGTTGCCCCTCGCGCCGCGCCCCGCCCCCGCTGCCCCGCGCAGCGCCATTGGGCGGCGGGCGGGGCCGGGCCGCGGGCGGGGGGGCGGTGCTGCCGTCAGCTGTTCGCGGCCCGCCCGGCGGCCGCACTCCGGGGCGGGCAGGCGGCGGTGGCGGCGGCTCCCGCTCCCGGGGCGGCCCCGGGGGACGCTCAGCTCAGCCCGGTGCGGTTCGGCTCCGCTCCGCTCCGCGGCAGCTCGGCTCGGCCGGTCCCGCTCCGCGGTGAGTGCCCGCGGCGGCAGAGCGCCGGGATGCGGCCCCGCTACCGGCGGGTGGGGAGCGTGCCCCGGGGCGGCGGCTCGGGCTCGGGCTCGGGCTCGGGCTCGGGCTCTCCGCGGCTGCCGGTGCCGGTGCCGGGGGGCAGCGGCTCGGCGGGGAGCGCGGCGCAGCTGGCGGCCGGCTTCAGCTTCAGCTTCAGCTTTGTTTGGGGCGCTGGCACGCACGTGTGCGCCGAGCCCGCCCCGCTGCACGCCCGCCGCCGCCTGTCAGCGCTGCGGGGCTGCAGGGGGAGCCCGGGGGGGCCGCGCCGGGCTGGGCTGAGCCGAGCCTCTGCCGGGCGCCCCGCAGGAGGAAGCAAAAGGCCGGGGGCAGAGCCGGGCTGCGGGGGCTGTGGGCAGGCGGGTGACAGGCGGCCGGGCCCCCCTCTCTCCCCTCCCGCAGGTACCGGTGTGGGCTCCTGGGGGAGGTGGGGGCGCCGAGCACGTCCTCACGAAGCTGTTGTTGCTGTCTCCTTCAGGCCTGAAATTCCTCTCGCTAGTCTGTTAAATGCTTCCTCGCAAACCAGAGCAAAGGAAGAGACGGGAAGAGGTGAATTTCACGGCCTGGTTTGGAACGGGGTGGAAATCCTGGAGATGGATCTCTTAGGAGACTGTCTTCCAATGGGGTTAGATGCACAGGTAACAGTCAAGGGACTCGTGGCTTTTTTGGTAAACCTGCTTCTAATGACTGTTGGCTCTGAAGGAGTGCTATAGGGTTTGTTTCTGTGGTGATTTTTCTTCTACTGTCTTTGTCCAGTTTTGTGCTGCAGCAGGGCTCAGGAGCTGTTGCTGTGGCAATTACAGAGATCCTGCCTTAAACCCTGATGCTGGCAAGTGTCTGTTCCTTTAGCAGTAGGATGAGCCAGTGCACTGACAGTGCGCATAGACTTCAGGGCGAGACAGGTAACGGAGCGGCTGCGTTGCCAGGTTTGGGAGATGCCTTGCATTGAGCTGAGGGAAGAGATGGGAAGTCAAAGGGAAAGTTGGCCCGTTCAGGGAGAAGTTATGGAGAGAGAGCTTCACAGACACAGCTTTGCCAGCTCTTGTGAGTTTTGCAACCACTGGGATTTCTTAAAAGCCTGGCCTTGCAGCCTTGTGATTATGAGCTTTACTTCATCAACAGTCGGGGAAAAAGTGAATGGGGCATACCATAAAGTTCAAATGCAGCAGGCCAAAGCAGAGCAAACCCCAGAGAAGTTGACTGGCACAGGATAATTTGAGGGATTGGGGTTGCTTTTTACAACTGTGTCTCTTCAGTTTTGATGTGTTGAGGCTAGGGGTTGGCTCCCTCCTTGTGACCAGTTGTGGGATTGGAGTCGTGGGTGGAGTCTTGGACGTGTGAAGTTTGGCTCTCTCTGGCCAGGCACTCGAGGACTTTCCACAAAGCCCTGATTTTCACCACTGAGTCACTCGCCTCTCCTGCCCATGCAGATGGGCTGCACTGGGAGGGAGGGGGGCAGACGGGCACAAAAGAAGGACCTCTGCCTTACTGTTGGAGCAGAAGGCATTGTCTCCTGGATGTGATTCTTGTCTTAGCTGTTTCCTCAAATGTCCCTTTATTGCAGGAGCAATGGATCGCCCCAGCTACCTGGAAGAGGACTATTCTAGCCTGGATGGGCTGGACGATGACGTGTTTCACTCTGATGACTTTGGACTTGCAGGTCAGCCTGGTGAGATGACTGCAACAGGCATTTTCACACAGAACCAGTCCTACAGCTGCCTTCTGGGGAGGTTTCAACTATTTCCCCTCACACACTGCTGTGGTCCCGGTGTCAGGCATCCTGAGCAGCAGGACAAGGCAACTCAAACACTCAGCCCGTCCTCTTCCAGTCAGGATGTTATGTTGCCTTGTGGAGTCACTGAAGAGCCCCGGAGACTCTTCTATGGTAAGAGCACTCCAACGTCACCAGCTTTTCAGCAAGGAAACTGTCCCTTCAGCACTTCCCCAATCAGGCGAAGTTTCTTTCATTAGGGCATTTAATTGAAGGACTTAAATTATTTTGCTTCTCTCATACTCCCTGAGGAGAGATGACTTGTATCTTCTTACCCTTGCTTGTCACTGCAGGATCTAGGCGCTTGCTCAGTGCTTCTGCTGTACTTGATACTCCCCTTTTTTTTTCTTTTTCACTTCTGTCACATTTATTGTACTGCTAGACATAAGTGTTCACCGCCCTTCATATCCTACTGTTTGCCTACTTTTTTTTTTAACCTTTTGTGCTGTCTCATCCACATGGGAAGACTCCTTGAAGTTTTCAGTGGAGAGATGGAAATGCAAAAATCCCCACTTAGTGGGACAGCTTTTAGGTTCTTTCCTGGAGTTCAAGTCGCTAAATATGTAGCATGTCCATGCAGTATTTTATAAGTAACTGATAGGACATTACTCAGCTTTGCATATCTGATCCAGCCTTATTTCATATTGGTCCCACTAAATGCCAGAGAAGTCTGACGGAAAAGATGCAGCAACCTTTAATGGGTGACAACTTGAGGCAGAAATGTTGGAAAAAGTGTAGAAAAAACAAAACCAGCACCTCAGCACTTGGTTGAACTGTTAACAAACAAAATAAAACAAGTGTAAAAGATCCTATCAGTCATTTGATTAGGGGAAGCAACACAATGTTATGCTTAATGGATATGTCTACTTAAAAGCTGAGCAAATGTTTTACTGCATGCTTACAGTACGTGGTCATTGTTAGGGCTTCGGAAACTGAACTTTAAAAAGAGTCAGAAACTCAGGATTATGTGCAGTTCTTTCAGTGTGCATGAAGCGTACTGAATAGAAGAGCTATTCCTTGTGCTGGGAGAGCAATTCTTCTGATCTCTGTCTTGTAGGGAATGCTGGTTACCGTTTACATGTCCCTCCAGTTGGCTTTGCATTGGATCCACACCTCCAAGAGGAGCCTCAGGAAGGTCAGCAGGAGGCGCGTGCTGAGGTGCAGATTGCACGGAAGTTGCAGTGCATTGCAGACCAGTTCCACCGGCTCCACATACAGAGGGTAGGGTGTTTCCAAAGGGGAAGGTGGGGGCTTACTTATCCAGGAGTGGTGCTCCTGAAGCCTGGCTCCAGGCATCAGCCAAGCAGGCTGCTGCCTGAGGCAGCAGACTGCCAGCAGTGATGAAAGCTGTGGTATCCCTGTGTGTTTTGCTTATGCTGGTTTGGTGGCTCTTTGTAAAGGTTGGCAAGTGGAGAGAAGAGCGTGTGTGGGATTGGATTTGCTGCTTGGGAAGGTTGCTGTTGCTATTCCAGCTCTTCTGGTTCAGCAGCAGCAGGGTCACTGGTACTTTCTCCAGCTGTCTCCCCCTTGCTTTTTATTACAGCTTTTACTGTTTTCCTCTACCCTCCTCACCACCAGCATTGTCTCTTCTGTGGCACAGCTGGCTGGCTGTGGCTTATATCAGTTCCTCATCTTGGAGATGACAACAAGCCCAGAGTCTGTTTTGACACTCCTTGTTGTTTAGGGATAGTTGTCTCACGTGTTGCAGAGTGTATTTAGATTGTGCTAGACTTGCTAGCAGCTCCTCTGTGAGACAGTCCTAGCTAGTGCCTCAGACTTGTGACTAACTTCCTCACAACAAAAGACAGCTGTAAGATGCCATCGAGTCTGAAAACCACACTCCAGAATCTTGTTTTTGTTTTCTATAAAAACAAAACAAACAAAAAGAAGAAACACTGCTTTTCAAAGAAACAAAATAACACCAGCATCCTTAAAAACCCAGATTCTTCCTTGCCCTCCTTCCTCTGTTGAATAGTGAAGAAATGAAAATCCCAGCCATAGAGTTTGTCACAGGTGACCGAACTTTAGCAGTAGGCAGCACTTTTCTACTTGTGTGCAAGTCCAACAAGGTGTTGTGGAGTGTGTACCCACTTGCATATGAAGAAGCTAACGTTCTTGCTGACTTCAGAGTGTGACTCCAAGTGAGTCAGTGCCCTGTAACTGTGGGGATCTGATGCAATTCTTCTCAAAGGTAAGTAAGGATCTTTGTTCTGGTCAGAGAATGTGGCCTGTGGCTGGGCAAAGTTTTGGTTCTCTTTGTGACATGAAAGACATGAGGGAAACGGGGTTCTTCAGATTCAAACAGCATGACTATTAAAGAAGCTGTAAGAGGAAGATTAACCTGTTGAAATGTAGATAGGGCTATGAATGTCATTTTGCAAACTACAGAAAATGAACCACCACAAGCTTTTCACTGTATGTTACTAGATTGAATGGGGTTTTCCCCAGTGCCACCTTTTCACTAACAGTAGCTGAAGGGCCCGCTGTCTACAGCCAGGGTCTCTCAGCTAAGGGAAGGTTTAGCCATCTCTGGCGTGGAGGAGCCCTGCAGCGAAGTGGTGAAACTGGTTGTAACCTGACCCTGTTCATCTCGGGGAGTGTACCTATCTGATGGCTGTGCCTTGGGAAGGCATCCGAGAATGCCCACCCAAAACCCTCTGAAACTGCCCTTGGTCTGGCTTTTGCAGCCGCGGGTGAGCTGCCGGCTGCGTGTGCAGCAGGGGCTCCCAGTACCACGCTCAGGACTGCAGCCAGGACTGCCCGGCCAGCCGAATTGCCGTCAGCCAAGCATGTGGGAGAGTTAGTAAACAAAAGCATCCGCCTGCACTACCCAATCGTGCAGCCAGCAGAGGAGGAGCTCTGCTGTCTTTGTTTGGACTGGAAGAGCAACAAGTAGTAAAGGAGGGGGAGCTGTTCAGCCA